ACCCGAAGCTGGCTCCCACTGACAACAGCCAGCCCGAGTTGGGGCTTGAACTCACAACCCATGAGATCGTGACCCGAGCCAAAGTGAGATGCTCAACTGCCTGAGCCACTCAGGCACTCCTATACTCTGTTCTTTTTAAGGGTGGCATTGTAGTCCATTATACAAGTGTGCCAAACATATTTATTTAACCAGGATCCATTTTACAGATGTTTAGGTTTTCCTGATTTTTCCTTATCCCCCGCCCCCCAATATGACAAGGGTTTTTCATGACTTTCTGGAGTCCTGGCATCATTATGTGTGGAGGTCCCACTCTGCACACAATCCACTCACACGAACACCGATTAAATTTTTTTTCAGCGTAGAAACTTTTGAAAAGACTTCTGGATTTCTGCTTTTGAGATCATTTGGCTTTAAGTGGTGGTTTAAATCTCCACCTGACTGACTTCTGGGCAATCGCCGCACATTCTTGGCTTCTCGTGAGGTGAGAAATTGAACCAATTGTTTCCAAAGGTCACGAAACGTTAATGAATGTTAACGTTGACAATGAAGGAAGTACACACCGTCACGTTTGTGGGCATTTTATTTAATCATCCATTCGCTTTGATTCTGCATTTTGTATTCATGCATTTCAGGGCCAGTGATTTTCTGCCCCACCCAGGTCTTGAACGTGTCTGTGGACTCCAGAAGCACGAGTGGACATAGTCAAAGGCCCGGAGGAGCACATGGCCTTGTGCGTTGGATGAGCGGCTGCGGCCACCGTATCCCTCGCCGCGCAGAAGGAAAGGGGCCTGGGCTCCTGCACCAGAACGGGCTGGGATCCCAGCGATGTCCTCGTGCTACCTTGGGGCGGGCTGGATTTCTTATCTGTTCCTTATAGGCAACAAAACAAATTGGCCAAGCAAAACTCTTCCGAGAGGGAAGGAGCAAAAGCCTTCTGACTTGTGCCCAAGTTGGTCTCCCTGAGGAGGCAAACCTATCCGCAGTCAGACGCCTCCTGGTGTAGCTGGACCTTGGGTCACGTCCCGTCCCGGGGTAACACCGGCCATCGCTCCCCGTGCTCTTTTTACAGGGTCCCCACGTTCCTCCTCTGGGAGCTCACTCTTCAGCCACCCCGACCGACTCCTTGCACTCCAGCCTCGGCACTCACCTTCCACCTGGAATGCTGTTCCCTCGCCTTTGCACTTCGGGGTAAAGGTCGCCTACCCTTCCGGGGATACCCTCCCGATCCCCCAACTAAGCCGGGTCCTTGTAGTTATGAGCTCACAGGGTACCGGGCACCTCGGCTGTCGGGTGTTGTCGCGGTTACCATTTGACAGACGTTGTTCTGTGATCCTCTCGCTAACGTCCGTCTCCCCGACTGAATGGTAAGTTCCGTGAGGTTGGGGGCCATGTCTCAGTCTGTGCCCCTGGAGATGAACTTACTGCTGCCATCTGACAGATGTGTAAACGGGCACAGAGAGGGAAATCGTCTGCCCAAGCTCACAGGGCTTGAAGGAGGCCGAGCTCCCGTGCGAACCCGCACCTGTCTCAATTCTGTTGTGCACTTACGGACCGGGAAGGCGTTGCAGAGTAACAAAAGCTCAGGGCCCGGCCCGCTCATACCCAAGAACTCATAGCAGGCTTGTTGCCTTCTGTGGCACCAGTGCTTTCCCTACGAAAACGCTAGAGCTCACAAAAACGCAGTGAGGCAGGTGCTGCTTCAGCACCCCCCCCGTTGAGAAGCCCAGGTGCAGAGAGACTGAGGCCACGCATCCGGCCAAGGGGCAGTCGGGTCCGACCCCGCCGGTCTGGTTCCAGGACCAGCACACTGCGGAGTGGCGAACGTGGGGACGAGGCCGTGAACCAGGAGTTTGGGAGCTGGTTCACCGTGACAGACCCCGTCAACGAGGAGCCGTTCCGCACAGAGTCTCCTTGGCAAGTGATTGCCAAGGACTGGATTGGAGGAGTCACAAGACGGAGGTTCAGCAGCTGCCTGATGAAACCGGTAAAGAGACCAGCTGCCCTGGTTGGCCAGGGGCTGCGGGGCTTCCTGGGACGGCGGGACTTTCAGCACCAAGGCCGGGAAAGACCCAGACGAACCGGGACGAGTTGGTCTCCCTAGAAATAGTCGAGAAAAGCAAGCTCCCCACCCACTTACTTGGTTTCCTGTCACCATGGTGGGGGCCTGCCGCTCTGTGGACAGGGAGGGGGCCCTGCTGGGTGCTCTGGGCTCACACCACTCCCGGGAACGTGCCTCCCACGTTCCGTCGGCCTTCCGCGCGGGGGGCGCAGGCTCCGCGCCCAGGGCCCAAAGCACCAAGATGGCGGCTCCTTGTCTCTGTCAAGCACTTCCGGCTTCCTCCCTGCGGAATTCCGCGAGGCCCTGCCGCATTCCGCGAGGCCCTGCCGCATTCCGCGAGGCCCTGCCGCGAAGGGCTGGGGGAGGGGCGCGTGCCCAACACAATAAGGGGCAAGAGGAGGGCTTGGGAGGGAACGCCGCTCGCTGGTTGCAGCAGCTGCCTGTTCTCCGCCCCCCAACATCCCCCAACCAACCAAGTTCATGATTAGAAAATTTGTGTTCAAAGCTCACTCCCCCCACCCCCACCCTCTTGGGCCCTGAGCCGTTGGATCCTAACTTAACTGTCTAGTGCAGTGCTGTCTGATAGAAAAATAATGCGAGCTGTACATATAAGGCAGTTTAAAATTTTCTGGTATTAATTCCATTAAAAGGGTAAAACGATGAAATTAATTTTGATAACAGATTTAACCCCATACGTTAGAAAAAAACCCACTATCATTTCAACACATAATCAAGACCAAAAAGATAGAGACATTTTACACTCTTTCTTTGGGGCACTATGTCTTTGAAATCCAGTGCATCTTAACTTGGGAGCTAAATTTTCAATGGGAAGACTTGATCTGTATTTGGGCTTCACAAAAACTTGCAGTTGAAGCAGATTTGCATACTCAAGATGTTCCAGGCGTACTTAAAACCTTCCAAAAACTGAATCAGGTGTCGGTTTTGCAATTTAAATTAGTGGAAATTAAACATATAGTTCCTCAGTCACATTAGCCACGTTAGCTCAATCCACGTGTGGCTGGTGGCTATCACATCTGAAAGCACTTGACTGGAACATTCTCCCTTTTGTTCTCCTTCTTCACTTGATCTCTCCTTTCCTGCCAACATCTATAACTGGGTTTTTGTTTTTTTTTTTTTAAAGGAATACAGGAGAAGCGAGATACACACACACACACACACACACACACACACACACACACACTAATTCTACGGCAAAGGCTTTGAGTATAACATCCAGCCGGATTCTGGAGGCCCCTGTGTCACATTACTGATGGTCACAAGGCCTGTGGCTTAGTTTTTCAATATTCAGCAGACTCCCTGTTTGATGCTATATATGTGCAAGTTGTTTACTTTTCAGCCTAGGGGCAGTCAGTCGCCCCAATCAGGAGTCCCCACGCTTGGGGTGGCCGGGCAGCATTACACTGCACAGGCCACAGTCCAGAGGCAGGCGACACCGGAAGCTTTCCTAATTAGCAAACCAGAGGCCAGAAATAGGTTTTTAGTTGGTAAAAAGGGTGGCCTATTACCCTTGTATGCTTTATGTTAGAAACAGGCTCCCAAAGGGCAAATGCAGGAAGGTATGCCTGCCGGTCGGCTGAAGTACTGGGGAGCCCTGCTTGTGCCCCCACTCAGGGAGGGTCCCGTGTCCAGTCCTGGTTTAGATCTCTGCTGTCTAATGCCATCTCTGGGAGTAACTCCGGATGCCTCTGTGCCCCTGTCATGGCGGACTTGAATGAACTTTTCTACTAGGTGATGGTCGGAGCCCTTAAAGGACAGAGTCCAGACTTCATCAAACCTACAGAATAGGCTGAATGATGTTTGACATCCCTTTGCTATGTTTACTGGAAGTCTGCACGGGGTAGAATTTATCTGAGACTTGCTTTCCTTGCACCCAGGCAGGGAGGTGCTGGAGTGGTTTCCTGTCACCCGTCTCAAATGTCTTTACTGGCTCCTAATACCTATCAAGGAGAGACCGCGAGGGCCATGTACGACCCAACTGGTTTAACTCAGTTCAAAACAAACCCTCTAGTTGCTGGATCATTTGGAGGTCCCAGTGGGGAGAACCCCAAAGGAGGGATGGGATGGCTGGGACAGTGGGATGGCAGGGATGGGGGACAGAGACACTTTAAGAAGTTTTAAGCGGTGGCTATTTGCCAAATGGGAGAGAAGTTGCTTCAATATTTTCACAGCCATCTGGCTCTCCTGGTGCTTATCAGGTAATTATCAGTCCTCACCAGGGACAGCATGTGGGTGCCTTAATTATCAGCGTGTGGGTGTCTTTAGGATTTGGACTGGGTGCTTTTCGTTGTGTGGTGGCCAGCCTCCAAGACGGCGCCAATGGTTCTTATCTGCTGGTATTCACATCTTTGGATTGTCCTCTCCAATAGTGGATGGACTTTGCAATCATCAGCTCAGCTGCCATAACAAAATAGCACATACTGGGCAGCTTAAACAGTGGAATTATATTTCTCATAGTCTGGAGGCTGAAGTCCAAGATCAAGGTGGCATCAGGGTTGGTTTCTCCTGAGGCCTCTCTTCTTGTCTTGTAGATGGCTACCTTCATTCTGTGTCTTCACATGGCCTTTCCTCCATGTGCAGGCATCCCTGGTGTCTCTCTCTCTCTCTCTCTCTTCTGATAAGGATCCCTTATAAGAAGTTTTAGAACACATTGCCTGTGGTGATGCGGAAAGTAGAAGATGTTCCTAATGAACTGGGTGATGGAGCCCAGGCAGAGTGCTGGAAGGTGCCACCTGCCCGCTTCCTGGCACTTACCATGAACTGCAGGAGGGGAGAGAGGCCAACAGGGGGACTGTTGAACCACAAGGAGCTGGGACTTGATAGGACTTGAAAATTCCCTCCCTCTCCAGAGGGCAAATGAAATGTAAGATGTGGGTTGGGCAAAGACCAAATCAAGGGCACTCTCAGGAAAGCACGCTCCAAAGATGAAGCTGAGTGGAAGACTGTAATATCCTTTGTCAAGAAAGCAGAGAGATCCAAGCTGGCATGTCAGGGAATGATTTGGGCAAAACACAGGGCTTCTAAGAAGGGCTGTCCCTCCCATTCTCGGCAGAAGCCCAAGGCAGAGGAGGGTTTGTGTCGAGAAGGCTTTTGCCTGCTAGGGTGAACCCCAAGAAGGAACACTACCAGTGTGGACTGTCGGAGATGGAGACCCACAAAAGCAAGAGAAGCCTATGACCCCCACGCGTCTATAGGCAGGTAGCAGACTATAAAATTGCACAGCTGCAAATGTGATACCTCTCATGGAAAAGGCAGGAGGACTCAGAGGGCCGAACCAAGGAACCAGAGGGCAGAGGCAAGAGCCATGAAGGGTCATTTCTGGGCAAGAATAGGTCTAAGTCCTAATAAAGGAACTTCCAACATTTTCCTGGCTGGATTTCAGAACTGCTTTGGGCCAAGGACTCCTGTGTGTTTCTTGTTCTTCCCCTTTTGAAAAGAAGGCATGTCCATAAACTCTGTCCCACCAGACTATGTTGGGTGCATGAGGGACAGACAACCCATGTCTTCAGTTCACAGTCTTCAGATTGCTGGGAATGGTATGTAAGAACCTGAGCTTAAGGAACTACACCCAGTGAGCTCCACCTGTACCTGGACTTGATTTAGATGATGAGCTTCTGGAATTTAGACTGATGCTGGAATGGGATGAGACCCTGGTGGGGGGGGGGG